CTGTGTGCGTGCGTGCGCGCGCGCGCATGCGTACCTGTGTGCGTGCGTGCGCGCGCGCGCATGCGTACCTGTGTGCGTGCGTGCGCGCGCGCGCATGCGTACCTGTGTGCGTGCGTGCGCGCGCGCGCATGCGTACCTGTGTGCGTGCGTGCGCGCGCGCGCATGCGTACCTGTGTGCGTGCGTGCGCGCGCGCGCATGCGTACCTGTGTGCGTGCGTGCGCGCGCGCGCATGCGTACCTGTGTGCGTGCGTGCGCGCGCGCGCATGCGTACCTGTGTGCGTGCGCGCGCGCGCGCGCATGCGTACCTGTGTGCGTGCGCGCGCGCGCATGCGTACCTGTGTGCGTGCGCGCGCCTGTGTGTGTGTGTGTGTGTGCGCGCGCGTGAATGTGTAATTATACCAGTGGATACTTCCGCAAGGTGACGCCCCTAGGTAGGGGTTTTACGACACTGCAGTACATGGTGCGGACAGTATAGTTATAGCCTGGGAGCTCAGATTTGAGCTGTCTGGTGGGTGGAGACTGGACAGGTCTTGCCTCTGATGCCCACCATGTTCAAATAGCCTGCCATCACCTCCACTGGCAATGCCATGAGTTGTGAATGGAAAATGAGTGATTAAGGTAAAGATAACACAGTACGGAGCTGGATGAACACAGCAGGCCAGGCAGCATCAGAGGAGCAGGAAAGCTGACGTTTCGGGTCGGGACCCTTCTTGGGTGGCTTTATAGGGTCTGACCATAGAGCTGTTCACATTCTTCCTTTGCACTGTGTGATCTAAGCACCTCACTGTTGGTCATGTGTTAAGAGTTTAGAGAGGGGACACAAAGGATTGACAAGAACCATTAAAGGAACGGGAGATTTCAGTTGCATGGAGAGATTGGAGAAGTTGGACTTGCTGTCCTTTGAGGTGAGAAAGTTGAGCGGAGATTTGGTGGAAGTCATGAGGGGCTGGACAGTGGACAGTGGGAAGAAACTGTTTCCAATGATGAGAGGATTGAAAAGCGGGGAATAAAAAGTGAAGATAATTGAGAAATGACACGACAAGGAAGTGAAGGGAAATGACTGCATATTATGAGGGTCAGGAGCAGGAATGCATAAGGTAGGATTGTGCAGGTGGATTCTATCATGATTCTCGAAAGGGACTGTGGCTACTGCCTGAAGAGAGGAAATATGCTGGGCTATGGAAACAGGCAGGGGTGTTGGACTGGCCTGAATACTTCCTGCAGAGGGGGTTAGTAATGCTGTTGAACATCGAGGGGCAAGGCTTTGACTCAGATGGTCATTGCCTGCGCTTGTGTGTCACGCACGTAATTTACTTCTTACCTGCCCAAGCCTGGATGTTGTCCTGTCTGTGGACATGGACTGTTTCAATATCTGAGAAGTTATGAATGGTGTTGGTCAATATGCAATTAGCAGTGATTACACCGACTTTTGACATTACACTGCAGTTCCATTGGGTCACCACCAGCTAACAGGGACCCATGATTTTGTCTTGTACAGATTCAGAAATTGTCAGAACTGATTTGATTGGTGTCTTAATGTGTCCTCACACTCAGGAATACAGAGATCCTTTTGTTCTAAGATAAATTCTTGTTACAATGTTTACTTCTGATTGCTAGCTGTTCCCTATCTTGTTTAGAAGCAGTTGAGGAACAGAATGTGCCCATCAGAGTTGTCCGTGAGTCAATGCTTGTCTCTCTTTCGCATGTCATCGAAGTCCCTTTAATTTAGCAGTTCATTGGCCAGTTACTGCCCAATGGAGGGAGGGTACAGGAGGCTATGGGAGCCTGACCCCACTGCGGCTTAAGCTTGCAATTAGTCTGCCCCACAATATCCATGGGACTGGGAGGGGGCATAGATGGACCCGAAAGCATCTGGGGCTCCCGATCACTGTCCAGTGACCCTGCTGGAATGTGAGCATCAAATGAGGGCACTGTCGCTGGGTCCAAATCCTGGAGTTCCCTCCCTAATGGCATTGTGGGTCAACCCACAGCATGTGGACTGCAGCGGTTCAAGAAGGCAGCTCACCACTACCTTCTCAAGGGCAACTAGGGATGGGCAAGAAATGCTGGCCAGCCAGCAACGCCCACATCCCATGAACGATTAAACAAAAATGTTCATTCCCACAGTTTCCTTATGTTTGAGTATATAATGAAAGGAGCTGTAGTTGGATCATTTCTCATTTTGAAGTGCACTTTACTTCTGACTAACTCTTCAGTATCTTTGTCTACTTTTTAGACACCACAATAGCAGTTCATACTGCTGTCAAATGGACTATCCCTGTGTGTTCATGATGAATTTCCTCTAACAATCTCTCTCTAAACCTTGATGAAATAATGACTCTTAAATCCTTTAAGACTCCTTAATCCACACTCCGTTCATTTTTGAAATAATTTCCCAACATCACACTCTTTAGGCCATCCATTCATGATATAATTGAACACTTTACTGAGCATCTTCCTAACTTCTGTGGTCTCTGTTCTCAGGTCCCTTTGCTTTCAAAATCCTCTCAATTTTCTCCTGTGTTGGGTGGAGATGTTCGCCAATTATTTGGTGACCTGGGTATATCGCATTTGACGCCAGGAGGCAACACGTGTGTGTTAGCTTTGTTGTTGTATTCTTGACATTGTGACGTTGAACCAAGTGCTAAATCAATGCGCTGTTCCTCACAATACCGTTCAGGGATCACATAGTCAGACCAAGGGTCAAACTCCATCCAGCCTCTTGGTCCCAGTGAACTGATCCCATGGGATACTCAGTGACTGGAACTTGCTCCACCAACCCACCCTGAGCTGTTGGTGTTCAAAGCTCATTGCTGCCCTGTTTCAGTATGGCCTTTACACCTCCTTTGGGGCTGTGAAGCTTGACACTTGCAGTGCACTTAGCTGAATGCTGGTCGATTTCAGCCCATTGGTTTGTGGGATTTCCTGCCTTTGTTATCCTGGTGCATGCTGGGAGCACATATCAACAAATTACCTTCTTCCCTCGACCATCCACGTTCTCTGGTTTCTACGTGTCTGTGTCAACATAATCGGAGGCTGGGGCGATGTGGAGTATTTTCGGCTAGCGTTGACAAGTCTCCGTCTGAGCGCGTGAAATGGAGAAAGTGACGATTTGAAGCAATTCTTTGGTATCGTGCAGTGAGATGTTTCAGCGCTGCCAGCTGTTAGCTGAGCGTAGAGCAGTGCTCATTCTCTTAGCCCATCAGCCAGTTGCCAGGAGACCTAGTATTGGTGACAGTGCTCGAGCGGGGAACGATCCTGAACAATCTCTCATCTGTTGTTGACAGCAAGGTTGCTCACCACGTGCCTGAAGAAGGATTGGGAGAGGGGAGTTGAGGCTGTTAAACAACATAACAATGTTTACATTTTTATTTATCTCTTTGTAGAACCAAGGCAGAACACAAACCAAAAGGAAGTTGTAAAGTGTGAGTAATTTTATTGCACCATTTGATTGGTACCTGCTATTACATGCTGGAAGATTTCTGTTCATGAGCTGATAGAGTCTGTGAGACCTGATGAATTCACTAATCCTGGTTAGAAACATTGAAAATAGGAACGGGTGTAGGCCACTCAGCCCCACAAACCTGCTCCACCATTTATTATGATCATGTTTGATCATCCCACTCAATACCCAGTTCCTGCTTCTCCCCGTGTCCTTCGATTCCTTAAACCAAGTGCTATATACACTCCCTTCAAAATCATACAATGTTTTGGCTTTGACTGCTTTCTGTGGTAGAGAATTCCACAGGCCCCACCACTGTCTGGGTTCTGAACTAACCGGGTCTCTTCGGTAACCTGCACTCCCTTCTGTCTCCAATTCTTTTTGACAATGTTTATAGCCTATCTCATGAGTGAGTTGGGCTTCCTCAGTTTCTTCCCACATGCACCACATTGACGAATCTGATCCTATTCAAAATTTTATATATTTGGGAGACTGCTTTGAGACGATCTTTTAGTTCTTGGTTCATCGCTGGACCAGACCGATATAGGCCAGGGAGCTGTGAGCCCCCTGTATCTCAGCCCAACTCTCTGATAGAAAGAAACTGTCTGGTTAATTTTCCAGCCACTCCTAGCAATGCTTAGGAAGAGGTGGTGAACGCAGCTCACCATCACAAGATGTCATTTCAAATGTACGTGTCTCAAAATCTATCTTGGTAATGGCCACCAGTGTTTGAGGGGGCAAGGGTGAGGAGGGTCACCTTTCCAACCAGCGTCTGTGCTTTAAGATCCCACCAAAGTTGGGAACATCACTTGCTTCCACCAAGGGAACATTGGGTGAGGCAGGACTGATGGGGACACATTGGCTGGATGCCTCACCTCTGTTGCACAGGATGTGCAACCATGCCCACTCACTCCACCCCAAGCCCCGTCTCCCCCCCACCCCACCTCACAGGATGTGGTTACCTCCAGGGCCAGGACGCTAATGAAAGTGCTGCCACCTGGTGGAACGGACGGGTTACGGATCCATTTGAAGTCGTGTTTACCAGAACTATATTGGCTATGTTTCGTTAGGACCTCATTGACTGTAAAGTGGTTTTGGACATCCAGAGCTTGTGGAAGGTGCTACATAATCGCAAAGTGTGAATACTACCTTGGCGTAGCAGAGCTCGTCATCTTTTACTGTGACCCTGTGCTGGGAGAAATCTCATTCCTACCCCTTCTCCTCCGTCACAGTGATCAGTGTGAAGTCTCCCTCTCTCACCATCTTCTACTGCCTTGAATAGGAGCCTTCGGGATGTCTCCGAGCCATCTGACTGTGTGACACGTGGATCAGTGAGGTGCTTCCTTCAGATACACACACAGCTGTCTCTCTTGGCACGGCTCTTTGTGGTCCCGTTACCTTGGAGCAGCGAATGACCGTGAATCTTGCAGCCTGCATTGTTCATTCTGCTTTGCAGGGCTCACTCTGTTGGCTGGATGGCTGGTTTGCAATGCAGCGTGATACCAACGGCATGGGTTCAATTCCTACTCTGCAGCAGAGGTTACCATGAAGGATTGTTCCTCTCACTGTATTGCCTAATGGATGGTAATCCTCAAGTTAAACCATCACTGGTTGTTTCTCTCTAATGAGAGAGCAGCCCTATGGTTTGGTAGGACTTTGATGACTTTTTGGAATGTGATGCGTCTATGACGGAACTTGCTATTAGCCTGTTTTTTTTTGTTGTTTAGGATAATCAATGACTTAGTTTAGAAAAACCCAGAGATTGGAAGTTTTTAAGTAGTTTTGGAGGAGAGCTGACTGTGGCCAAGAACACCACATAGTTTCTGTTCTGGAAAGGATTAGAAACCAGCTACCTTTACAGGGAACAAGTTATTTTTGTAGGGAGTCATTTTGTGCAGCATCCAGACTGGGAGAATTTGGTTTGAAACCAGCACACTATTAAGTGATTAAGACATTTTAAGCCTCCAGTTTTGTGAGTATCCTCGTAAGAAGACTAAAAGAATAACTTTGAACTTCAAAGTTCACTGTTCAAAACTGGGAAGAATTAGTTGAGCTGAACAAAATGAATTGAAACTGTCGAGTTATGGTGCTGAGGAAAAGATGAGATGCCATTTTAAATAAAAACCGAAAGAACTGCGGATGCTGTAAATTAGGAACAAAAACAAAGTTGCTGGAAAAGCTCAGCAGGTTTGGCAGCATCTGTGAAGGAAAAAACAGAGTGAATGTTTTGGGTCCAGTGACCCTTCCTCATGTCATTTTATTGTGTGCATTAAGTTCTTTCAAACTATTCTATATTTAGGTAGCTTTGTTTTATTTTGCCATATTTTTCTTTTATGCAATTAAATGTTAAAAAAAAATCTGCAGCCTTGTCTATTTACATCTCAGTGAATGACTACCACATTAAAATATAAAAATATATGATCTATCGAGCCAGATCTGACGTGTCCACGATTACCATTATGTAGGATCATAACAAAATTTATTTGTTGGATTCTTTTTGCCCTGTTTTAGTTTTTGTCTTTCCCTCTGGTTGCAGGTCCTCTCTCCATTCCTACTTCGGAAGAATGTATGACCTTAGCCGACTTGGTCAACAGAGACTGGAAGATGATTGGTAGAAGTTTGGAGTTGACCGAGGGTGATATCAGTACTATCGATGCTGACTATGATATAGATGGCTTGAAGGAGAAAGCTTACCAGATGTTTCAGAAGTGGATACAGAAACAAGGGAGACATGCCACTCGAGAAACATTATTCAGGAAATTTAAGTTGATGGGGCGGTCCGATCTGGTGATGTACTTGTGCAGTTGATGCTGCGATAGGTTTTTAGACTTGCTGTCTGTCCTCGTTTATAATGAGTCCGCAGAACCCATTTTTAACTCCTTGTATTTTCATTTCATGTCAAATGGATGTTGCACCTTGTGTTTACAACCGGTGCATGCGTGTGAATGAGGAATGGAAAAGGTTGCCTATCTTGCTTGGTGTTAATGGAAGTGGAATTTGTCCCAGGCTTCTCAAGTAACTCTTGGCTGTAAACAGATTCAAGGAATGGTAATGTTTCAGCCAGCAATAGTCTCACATCAGGGGAGGTGAGATGATGGGTTTGACCTAGGTCTCAGCTCTGCCCTGTGGAACTGGATCCTCAGCTTTCTGACCCCCAGACCACAATCAGTGAAGATAGATAACTGCACCTCCTCCACAATAACCCTCAACACTGGAGTCCCCAAAGATGCGTCCTCAGCCCCCTATGTGCTCCCTGTAGACCATGACCATGTAGTCAAATTCCAAATGAATGCTATCAACAAGTTTGACGAAACTACCGTAGTAGGACAGATATCAAACAACGACGAGTCAGAATACAGAAAGGAGATAGAGGGCTTCATGTCATGGTGCAATGATAACAAACTCTCTCTCAATGTTGGCAAAAGTAAAGAACTGATCATTGACTTCAGAAAGAAAGGAGGAGAACACACCCCCATCTACATCAACGGAGCTGAAGTTGAGAGGGTGGAGGCTGTCAAGTTCCGAGGAGTGACAATAACCAACAAATTGTCCTGAACTTGCCACGTAGATGCGACAGTTAAGAAGGCACAACAACGCCTCTTCTTCCTCAAACGGCTTAGGAAATTTGACATGTCCATAAGGTCCCTCACCAGCTTTTACTGATGAACCATAGAAAGCATTCTATCCGGGTGCATAACAACTGCTCTGCCCAGGACCGTAAGAAACTACAGAAGGTGGTGTGCACAGCCCAGGCCATCACAGAAGCCAACCTCCCATCCGTGGAATCCATTTACACGGCTCGCTGCTGCAGAAAGGCTGCCAACATCGTCAAAGTTCCATCGCTCTCCTACAACCTCTTCTATCAGGCAGAATATATAGAAACTTGAACACACGCACCAACAGGTTCAAGAACAGCTTCTTCCCAGCTGTGATTAGACCGATGAATGGACTCTGTAACGTCAAGTAATGTTGATCTTGCTTCATGCACCTCCTGTGCAGTGTATTCTGAATGCCTTGCTCTGTCTAAGGACCCTGTGCTCTGTATGCTCTTGCTTGCTATGATCTGCCTGTACTGCTCACAAACAAAGCTTTTCACTGTACTTAGGTACACGTGACCACAATAAGTCAAATCAATACAAATCAAATCAAATCAAATCAAACACATCAAGGCTGGGAGTGTGGAGTATTGTTAGAGATGCTGTCTTTTGGATGAGATGTCCAATTGGGGCCCTATCAGTCCTTTCCAGGAACAAACTTATTCCGTGGCACTATCGGGAAACGGACAGTGTTGACCCAGTGTTGTCCTCAGCACTGCTCCCTCTCTTGATTGAGAGTGGGACCTTTGTAGATTGACTGCCAGTTTCCACCAGTCTGTACTTCAGAAGGAATCAGTTGATTATGAAGCACTTTGGCATGTTCAGTACATAATGAGGTTCTCCAGAAATGCAAGCTCTTCCTTTTTAGTCGGATTTACATTATCTTGTTGTATTATATTCATTTCCCCTGTTTAAAGTTGCTGTTGAGGCACTGGAGGCAACTGGCCAAGTTTGAGCAGATATCGGCGACAGGAGGAAACTCAGGACTCGGTGTACCATGAGGTGCCTCTGTGTTTGTTTTTCCTTTTGTCTAGAGCCAAGCCTGTGGTCAGGGCACTACATTGTGAATGGTGCAGGTCTGTGAGGGCCTATTGCACTGACACTTCCCTGAGAGTTGCTGGTTCTGCTGCTCAGATCAGCTATTGCTCAGATCCCTGCTGTTTCACGTGGCAGCAGTGGTTGCCTGCTCCCTAAGCGTGGCTAAACATGAGATTGAACAGTGGCAGAAGAGACAGTCTTAACACTTCTGAGACCAAACTCCATAAGAAATAGGAACAGGTCTAGGCTGTTCGGCCCCTCGAGCCTGTGTCACCATTCAATAGGATCATAGCTGAACTTAACCTTTCTCATGTCCACTTTCCCTGTATCCCTTGACTCCCCCACTGATCCAAGAATCTAAATATCTCAGCCTTCAATATACACAAGGACTCTGTGTCTCCACAGCTCTCTGTGGCAAGGCATTCCAAACATTCTCAATCCTCTGAGCAAAGAAATTCCTCCTCATCTCCGACTTAAATTGGCTCCCCTTTATTCTGAGACTGCTTGCTCGTCCTAGACTGTCCCATGAGGGGAAAACACCCTCTCAGCATTTACACTGTCCAGCCCTTTAAGAATTCTATATGTTTCAGTGTGATCATCTCTCATTCTTCTAAACTCAAGTGAGTAGAGTCCCAACCTGTTTAGCCTTTACTGGAGACAATCCTTCCATCTGACGGGTCATCCTAGTGAACTTTCTCTGAACTGCCTCCAATGAAATGATACCTCTCCTTAAATAAGGGACCAAAACTGCTCTCAGTACTCCAGATGTGGTCTCACCAGCACCTTGTTCAATTGCAGTAAGACTTCCCTACTCATACTGCAACCCCTTTGAAGTAAGGGCCAACATTACATTAAACTTTGATTATCTGCTTCACCTGTGTGCTAGCTTTTTGTGTTTTCTGACAAGTCCCCCCAAGTTCCTTTGTGTTGCAGCTTACTGTAGTTTTTCTCCATTTAAATAATACTGTTTTATTCTCCCTTCCCAAAATGAACAACTTTACATTTTCCCACATTAGACTCCATTTGCCAACTTTTTGCCCATATACTTAACCTATCAGTATTTCTCTCTAAGCTGTTTGTATCCTTCTCTCAACCTGCCTTTCCACCTAAATTTGGCTACATTTGCTTCCTTCCTCCGAGTCATTAATCTACATTGTAAACAGCTGCAGTCCCAGCACTGATCCCTACTGGTTACAGGTTTCCAACCTGACAAAGAACCCTTTATCCACACCCACTGTTTGAATAGGTGTGTCACATGGCCAATCTGACAATCCTCTGGTACTTCGCCAGTATTTAAGGATTTTTGGAAAATTATAACCAATGCATCCACTATCTCTATAACTACCTCTTTTAGGATTATAGAATGCAAGCCATCAGGGCCAGGAGACTTATCTGCCTTTAGCCCCATTAGTTTGACTAACACTACTTCTCTAGTGATGGTAGTTAATTCCTCCCCCATATTCTTTAGTATCAATGGGATGTTTGAAGTATATTCCACCATAAAGACCGATACAAACTATCTTGTTTAACTCCTCTGTCATTTCCTTATTTCCCATAACCGTCCCCACAGATTCATTTTCTAAGGGCCCACTCAGTCTATTGTAATACACCCCCATCAACGTTCATGAACCTCCCAGTGATAAAAGCTTTATTTTCAATTTTGTTGGTGACTGGATAATTTTTTAATGCTGCAATTTATTAAGGTCTGTCATACACTGCCTGGGAGGGTAGAGGAAGCAGATTCAATAAAAGAGAAATATTTAATGGACTTTTATGGACATCATTTCAGTGAAATGATGAATGTGAGATAAATTTCTCTTGTGCTGTTGTATTCTGTGTGAACTCTTGATGTAAAGTTCTGCTTTGGGGTCCTCTTGAGGATTGTCCCTGTCTCATTATTAGTCACGAAGCATAACTTATCCCACAGGCTCTGAGCCACGTCACAGCTTGTTCAAAATTGTTGACAAATCACTACCACCCTCTGATTGTAAAACCGAACATTTTATAAAACATTGTAATAAAAAACTTGCCATTTTAGATCGTCATTCTTTATTGGGAAAGATAAAGGAAGAGTTTGCTTCACTCAGTCATAAAGAGTGCAAAGTGAGGGTGGTATTTACGAAATGAGCATGCTGAATCAAAAAGCCATCTCTGGCTGGCTTTCTCTCTAGTTCCGAGGAAGGGTCACCGCACCTGAAACGTTAACTCTGTTTTTTCCTTCACAGATGCTGCCAGACCTGCTGGGCTTTTCCAGCAACTTTGTTTTTGTTTCTCTCAGTGGGAATGGAGCCATCCAAAAATGGTCCAGTGGAGCTTGTGGACAGCAGAGGGAGACACTTCCATGAGAACCATCCCGAAATTTATAGCCAAGTCGAAGAGGATCAGAACGGATGGTAGCTGATGACCAGAGAGGATTTAATCTGGGCTGTTGGCCACAGCACATTTGGAGCTTTGTGAAGACTGGAAATTGAAGTGGGATTCACGTAGAAAGAGAAGACAATGGCTCGAAGGGGGAACAGCGCATTTAAGGGCCTTTGAAGAAAGGGTAGGATGGAGAGGAGAGCCTGAGTTGAGAGCTATTCTTTTACAATGAGGAGGGGTGTCATGATGATGTTGAAGAGGAAGGAGATGGTGCCTGTGTAAAATATTAATGATCTTGAGTAGCATTGGGTCAAGGAAGAGAGTTAATTGTCTAACCTCTCATTTTGAATCTGATTTTCATTTTTAACCTTTAACTTTAGTGTGTTTTGTGCTTAGAACCAGCTCTTGCATTTTGAAGGGACACGCTGTTCAAAGTACTTTACACATTAGTGTGATATCCTTGATGGTAGCACCCTGTCAATGGTAAAAGCCACTTGTGTTGCTATTGCATAGTAACTCTGTGAAACCATTAGGTTTCTGTTGCTGCTGAAATTCAGAGTAATGTGGTATCTGAGTTTGTGTTAGTGTGATCCTCAGTTTGTAGCCATGCATCCGAAAGACTAGAGCATTGTGCTAAACAGCATTTCCCTTCAGTTGTTCACAAAAAGCAAGGTATTGACACAACCAGTCAGTGTTTGCAACACTCACAACAAAATGGCCAACATTAGATGTGATGCTGCAATTGGACAGAAGTTGCTAAACAATCCTGAGAGCGCTAATAATTATGAGCTGCCAATTGAAAATTGCCAGTTATGCTTGAGGTGTGGCCTACTTGCACCTACTGGAAACTACATATATTAATGCACAGAACATAAGAACATGGTGCAGGCCATCTGGCCCATTGAGTCTGCACTGCTATTCAATAAGATCATGGCTGATCTTCTTGTAGATTCAGTTCCACATACCCGCCTGCTCCCCATAACCTTTAATTCCTTTACTGTTCAAAAATCAATCTATCATTGTCTTAAGATCATTCAACGAGGTATCCTTAACTGCTTCACTGGGCAGGGAATTCCACAGATTCACAACCCTTTGGGTGAAGAAGTTCCTTTTCAGCTCATTCCTAAATCTACTGTCCGCTATTTTAAGACTATACCCACTAAAGAACATGTACACGTGTTATCTGTTTCAACTTGTAGAAGGATTTGGACAGGTTAGGAGAGTGGGCAAAGAAGTGGCAGATGGAGTACAACGTGGGAAAGTGTGAGGTCATGCACTTTGGTAAGAAGAATAAAAGCATGGACTATTTTTTAAAGGGGAGAAAATTCAGAAGTCTGAAGTGTAAAGTGACTTGGGAGTTCTAGTCCAGGATTCTCTCAAGGTAAACTTGCAGGTTGCGTCAGTAGTTAGGAAGGCAAG